CCCTCTCAACTATGGAGACAATACTAAAAAGGAAATAAATTTAAAAGGGGTCCGGCATGATAGCATAGTGACTAAAGTCCTCGCCTTGCACGCGCTGGGATCCCATATGGGTGCCAGTTCTAATCCTGGCGGCCCCGCTTCCCATCCAGCTCCCTGCCTGTGGCCTGGGAAAGCAGTCAAGGACAGCCCAAAGCTTTGGAATCCTGCACCCCTGTGGCAGACCTGGAAAAACTCCCGGTTCCTGGCTTCGGATTGGCTCAGCTCCACCTGTTGCAACTGCTTGGGGAGTGAATCATTGGACAGAAGATCTTCCTCTCTGTCTCTCCTCCTCTCTGTATATCTGCCTTTCCAATTTATAAATAAATAAATCTTTAAAAAAATTAAAAAGAAAGAAATATACTCTGGCTGTGCCCAAGGATAGGGCACATGCCTTGGCACGGGGAGGTTGGACACGGCAGCTGATGGAGCCAGTACTGGGCGCTACTGCCCAGGTCACCAGGCATGGCCAGCAGGGGCACACTGTGGCAGGGACGTGGCAGCAGGGGAGCCGGTGCCCCAGCTGCCACCCGTGGGCCGTGCAGGGGAGCCGGTGCCACAGCTGCCACCCGTGGGCCGTGCAGGGGAGCCAGGGCCCCAGCTGCCACCCGTGGGCCGTGCAGGGGAGCCGGTGCCACAGCTGCCACCCGTGGGCCGTGCAGGGGAGCCAGGGCCCCAGCTGCCACCCGTGGGCCGTGCAGGGGAGCCGGTGCCACAGCTGCCACCCGTGGGCCGTGCAGGGGAGCCAGGGCCCCAGCTGCCACCCGTGGGCCGTGCAGGGGAGCCGGTGCCACAGCCGCCACCCGTGGGCCGTGCAGGGGAGCCAGGGCCCCAGCTGCCACCCGTGGGCCGTGCAGGGGAGATGGTGCCACAGCTGCCACCCGTGGGCCGTGCAGGGGAGACGGTGCCACAGCTGCCACCCATGGGCACTCCACTCCCAGGAGCAGCTTACCTCAGATGTAATACAGCGGACACAGGGAATGCCAGCTAGATTCTGCAGCAGGAGTTCAAGCTGGAGGAACAAGTTTAGTTCCACTGAAGAAAGGTAATTTCTGGGTCTGCGACCTTTAACCAAAGAAGGGCACCCCTCTCCCACCCACCCCCACCCACACCCTGCAGACTCCAGCCACCCAGTGCCAGGTCATTTGGAATGCCAGCATTACAGATGGCAGCCCTGGCTGGCACGTAGCATAAAGGGCACAGCAGCTGCCTGTAGAGCCAGCACCCTATAGGAACCAGCAGGTGGGGGGCAGTTATCTCTTTGTAACTGCCTTTTCAAGACTTATTTTATTTTTATTGGAAAGGCAGATTTACAGAGAGACAGAAAGGTCTTTCATCTGCTAGTTCATCCCTCAGGTGGTTGCAACAGTCAGAGCTGAGCTGATCCAGGAGCCACCTCCAGGTCTCCCACACGGGTGCAGGGTCCCAAGGCTTTGGGCTGTCCTCCACTGCTTTCCCGGGCCGCAGGCAGGGAGCTGGATGGGAAGTGGAGCAGCTGGGCTTGGGCCCCAAGACTCACTGTTTTAGAATGTCCCAATACTCCGAATGGAACTGACCATCGGTCATCAGCCACCCAGGCCTGCGGTGACGGCCGCGCTAGGACCGGCCCTGAAGGCGATGCCGGTGTGTCTGGCTCCGCCATGCAGCTGTGGTGGCCCGCACCGCTGGGCTCCTCTCCGCAGACACGTGACCGTGCTGTGTGCGCGCAGCAGACAGGGGACCCGCACGCCAGCTGGCGGGGCCGCACCTGCTGTGAGGGGAATCGCACACTGGCACATGAGAACGTGCTCACAGTCAACCGGGACAGAAGGACAACTCTAACCTGCGAGCACGCGGCCAGCCTGAGTGTGGCTGGCACCCCAGACGGCAGCAGGGCCTGGTGCGGCGGTGCAGCGGCTCAAGTCACTGCTGGAACGCCAGCATGCGCAGCAGAGTGCCGGCTCCCAGGCCAGCTCCCTGCTAAGGCCCCTGGGAAGCAGAGTGTGATGGCCTAAGCGCTTGACTCCCTGCCAGCCATGCAGGAAACCCAGCTGTTGCCGGCATCCGGCGAGCCAGCAGATGGACGATTTTTCTCTGCCTTTCAAATAAAAAATTAGATATTTTAGTTTATTAAAAGATTTATTTTTATTGCAAAGTCAGATATACGGAGAGGAGGAGAGACAGAGAGGAACATCTCTCTACTAATTCACTCCCCAAGTGGCCACAACTCCTGGAGCTGAGCCAATCCGAAGCCAGGAGCCTGGAGCTTCCTCCAGGTCTCCCACATGGGTGCAGGGTCCCATCCTTGACTGCTTTCCCAGGCCACAAGCAGAGAGCTGGATGCGAAGGGGAGCTGCCAGGGTTAGAACCGGCACTTATGTGGGATCCCAGAGGTTGCAAAGTGAGGACATTAGCCACTAGGCTATTGTGCTGGACCCCCAAAATTAGACATTGTAAATGATATGCCAGACCAAGAGGCCACACAGGACCTGCGCCACATCTACAGGTCAGGGGTCACACATGACTGACATGGAAGCTGGGCAGGACCTCATGATGCTGTGGGAACGCAGGACCTGAGTGGCTCTGGGCTGTGTTTTCAAGATTTATTTTTAGTAGTGTTATTGGAAAGTCAGATACAGAGAGAGGAGGAGAGACAGAGAGGAAGATCTTCTGTCTGATGATTCAGTCCCCAAGTGACTGCAATGCTGGGAGCTGAGCTGATCCAAAGGCAGGAGCCTGGGACCCAGCATAGTGGCCTAGTGGCTAAAGTCCTTGCCTTGAATGTGCCAGGATCCCATGTGGGCGCCGGTTCTAATCCCGGCAGCTCCACTTCCCATCCAGCTCCCTGCTTGTGGGCTGGGAAAGCAGTCGAGGACGGCCCAAAGCCTTGGGACCCTGCACCAGTGTGGGAGACCTGGAGGAAGTTCCTGGCTCCTGGCTTCAGATCCGCTCAGCACCGGACATAGTGGTCACTTGTGGAGTGAATCACTGGACAGAAGATGTTCCTCTCTGTCTCTTCTTCTCTCTGTATATGCGACTTTGCAATAAAAATAAAATAAATCTTAAAAAAAAAAAAAACCAGCCAGGGGCCTGGAGCTTCTTCCAGGTCTTTCATATAGGTTCAAGTCCCAAGGTTTTGGGCCGTCCTCCACAGCTTTTCCAGGCAGGGAGCTGTATAGGAAGTGGGGCCACCGTGGAGCCCTGGTGCGTGCAAGGCAAGGACTTTAGCCGACAGGCTACCATGCCGGACCCTCTACTTCTAATCAAGCGTTCTACTAATGTGCCTGGGAGAACAGTGGGCAGCGGCCAAGGCTACAGGCCCCTCCACCCAGGTGGGAGACCCAGAAGCAGCTCCCGGCTCCTCAGGGTGGTCCAGTGTCCATGCCAAGGAAGGTGGAGCTGCATTCAGATGGTTGTAGAGATATCCGCTGGGCCCTGCCATACAGCGGGAAGTTCCTTGCGGCCCTGCCTGCAATGGAACAATACTCTTCACCCCTTCGTGTCCCCCACATCCACTGCACGGACCCCAACAACAGCTGAGCGCCCTGACCCCTGCACCTGCGTGGGAGTCTGGATGGAATCTCAGTCCCCAGCAGATGGGAGACCTCTGTGGCCCTCTGCTTTCAAATCTGTCACAAATCAAGATAAACTGAACGCCTGTCAGGTGACCCCCCCCCCCCACCGGCCATGAGCCTGCTCTCCTGCTGCTGTCTGGGTGCTGGGGTCTGCTGGGGTCTGCTGGGGTCCTGGAGCAAGGCGCAGCAGCAGGCCCTGAAGCAGCTGAACCTGGCGAGAATCCCTGTGCTGGCAGCTCAAGTGTAGAAGTCAGCTACTCCCGCTGTCACGGCCCTGACACAGCTGCACAGCCCCAACATCCTCCCCGGGGCAGGCCACAAGCAGGGCAGAGCTGAGCACTTTCCTCGGCTGCCGCCTGGCTTGCAGCCTGCCACCCACACTGTCCCTCAGGCCACAGCACAAGTCACAGCACAGGTTGGCTTTGTATCACTGAGTGACCCCCTGACCGGCTGCTTGCCTTTGACCTCTGCGGCCTGCTTGGCCTGTCACCAAAGCCCCCTGCCGCAACAGCCACGCGCACACACGCTTTCTTCATGGCTGTGGATGAGGGGGGGGCAACATTCTGCAAACTACTAGTCCAAACCCAGGGGGAACCCCCACCTCCAGCCCCACAGCCTCCCCATGGTGAGGCTCCATGGCTGACCTCTTCTTGCTTCCTGTCAACTGGTCAGGGTGTGACTACCCCACATTCTCAGGACTCTGAGACTCCAAGGTAAAGAGGAACAGTACGCCCCCTCCGAGAGATGGGCTGGGGCAGCTTCTTGCTCCCAGCTGAGAGCACCAGTTCAAGGCCCGGCTAGTCCATCTTGGACCGAGCTCCCTGCTAATGTCCATAAGATGGCCCAAATATTTGGGCACCATCGCCCAAGTGGGAGATTGGGAAAGGCTTCTGGCTCCTGGCTTCGGTCTGCTTCAGCTCCAGCCATTGCAGCCACTTGGGGAGTGAACCAGCAGATGGAAGATCTCTCCCTCTTTTGCTCCTTAAATAACAGAGTCGGACGGCATGTGTTTCAGCACTTGGCGCCCTACGTGGGACGTCCATAACCCACACCAGCGCCTGGCTGCTCTGCCTCTCATCCAGCTCCCTACCACTGCACATGCTGGGCCGAGTGCCTCGGTCCCTGCCCACCATGTGGGAGACGTGGATGGGGCTCCTGGCTCCTGGCCCCAGCCTGGCCCAGCCTCAGCTGTTACAGGCACTTGCAGAACGAACCAGCAGATGGGAGTCATTGCTTTCTCTGCTCCAGGCAGAACAGTGCAAGAGACCCAGGTTCACAAATTGGGGAGCAGTGGTTGGGCCTGTGAAGCGGCGTCCTTGACCGCACTGCAGGGTGTCTCCCCCAGCTGACCTGCTTACTGTGGCTGGAGAGTGGCTCCAGGCAAGTTGAGAAGGAGACCTTGGTGCCCAACAGTGCCCACAGTGCCCACAGTGAGGCACACTGTGCTCTGCTGCGGTCAGTCTTCTTGTTCCTTCACTTCCTTCTTTTACTACAGACCGGACCCCAGGGCAGATGGAGCCTCCTCAGAGCAGCTGCCTCCCTGGCCTGCCCACTTCCTCTCAGCCAGCAGGGACAGCGAAAACCCAGAGCCAAACCCTAGCAGCCCGAAAGCCCTGCATCCTCTCCCCACAGCCTGGGTGGCACTGTGAGGTCCCTGCATCCTCTCCCACAGCCTGGGTGGCACTGTGAGGTCCCTGCATCCTCTCCCACAGCCTGGGTGGCACCGTGAGGCCCCTGGTCCCACCCTCCTCCTCACTCCTGTGAAACACCTGCTCAGTCAGCCCCCAACCTGGCACCTGGGTCCCTCCCCTGCTCCAGGTATCTCCCAGGCCACAGCACACTCCTTCCTCACAGCAGCCCTTTTCCTCGTTCTATTTTGGCTCTGAGTCGGTTCTCCCAACCCGTCAGCCTTACAGTCTCCACCTGGTCGCTGGCAAATCCCGAGCACCAGATTAGTGCCATCACGGGTATTCAGCAGACACTTGCTGAGTGAATGAACAACCCCAATTGGGTGAGCACCCTGTGAGGGACTGGGGGCACACTCCCGCCCCACCTGCCTTCTAGATGGGGAGGCAAAGATCAAAGAGGAGAGGCTATGGGTACGCAGGTGAGGGAAGCGGCTTTGCGGCTGGTTCCCAACGGGCCAAATTCAACCAGGCTCAGGGGAGCCCATGTCCCCATGTCCTTGGGGGGAGAGGGGGAGACAGGGGACAATCTCAGGCAGGTGCCCAGTTCCTGGGCCTTGGCGACAGTGCGTGGGAGGTCCCTGGAGGCTCCCGGGCCTTGGGGACAGTGTGTGGGAGGCCCCTGGGCCTTGGGGACAGTGTGTGAGAGGCTTTTTAGCAGTTGGGGTCTATGAGATTTGCCACCTCAGGCACAGAGCTGAGTTGGTAGAAGGTCCTCCACTTTTCCCTCCCCCAGGTGGCTCCTCTCTGGCCCTGGGGCGCCCAATGCCTCACCACACCCTCACCTTCCAATCTCTGGACCTCAGGCACCTCCTGAGGACACACTACTGGTAAACCCTCAGCAGGCCCTCAGAACAGCAACTCTCCCACACCCCTAACCATCCCTTCCAGGGCCCTGGCTTGCTCTCTGGTCTGCACCTCAGGCTTACTGTGGCCATGGCACCCCTAGGGTGTGGACTCCTTGACGCATGTGTGCTGGCCAGAGGCCCCCAGCACCTTGCCTGACACTGTCGATCCTAGCAAACAAAATGGAACGCTTGATGGGAGCTGCCAGCAGGATCACTGCTCAGCGCGGCTTCTGAAGTGGACCTCCTGCTCCCTTGCCTTGGTCACCGCTCAACTGGGTCAAAATCCTCAGCCACGCAGGAGGCATGGGCACCCACGACCAGCCAGCCCTGCATCCTGCCACAGCCAGGAACTGAGGCTCCGGGGACGTGTCCACGGCACCCTCGAGGGGGCAGGGGCCAGCCTGGGCCTCGAGTCCTCCTCCTTGCCGGGCAGCGCCGCCAGGCCTGCCAGAAACTGCCCACTGCACTGGGGGACCTGCATGGCTGGCTCATGCACCCCGAGTTCCAGGAACGCAGAGCTTCCCGCACCACCGCAGCCATGCGCCGTCGGTCACGCCCTGGCCCACAGGCCTCGTCCTAGGCCCGGGTGTTCGCCGAGGCCACACAGGAGTCAGTGGCCGCTTGCCAGAAGGTTCCAGTCAGGCCACACACGGGTACCAGGGCACTTCCGGCAGAAAATGGCACCTCCCAGAAAACCCTAGCGGGACTGGCACGCCGTCCGCAGCCCCCGGGGGTTCGCGCAGCAGGACCAGGCACGTTCTATTTGCACATACCAAAAAAAATCAAGGAAGGTCGTTAGCTAGAAGCACTCGGGTCCGCACTAGACTGGGTGTCCATTGGCCCTTCTTCACGCTGGCCCCGGCCTCGGCACCACCTCCTCCGCCAGCGATTGGTTCGTGCGAGACCCGGGTCGTGATGGCGCGTCCCTATTGGCTCGAGCCCCTGTCATCGTCCGTTTAAATCCCTCGAGCCCCGCCCTCTCTCGCTCTTCCCTTCGCCTAGGGCCGACCGTTAGTCGCGTGCGCGTCAGCCTCAGCGTCAGGGCACGCGCGCGCAGCATCCGGGCCGTGGCGGCGTCTTATTCAAACGGCCCAATCAGCGGCGTCGTCGCGCCGTCCTCCTCCCCCCGCCCTCCCGACGCCCTCCCGGGACCGCGCCCCTCCCGCCCGCCCCGCGTCTCCCTGCGCTTGGCGGAGGGGCGCGCGTGCTGACGTCACGGCCGCGCCGCGGCGCCGTGAGGCCGCCGGGGGGCGGGGCCTGCGGCCGCCTATAAAGGGCGGGTGGTGCGCGCACGGCGGCAGTGCGGCCGGGCACCCGCGACCGGGAGGTCCTCGCTGGTTGCGCGGCGGGCGTCGTCGGGCGCGGCGGGCACCGGACCCGGGCTGCGCGTCCTCGGCGGGGCTGCAGCGGCAGCGCTCGGGCTCGCCCTCCCGCCCCGGTTGGCTTCGCGGACAGCACGGGAAGGAGGCCGGGGGGGACCCGCCCCCGGCCGGCCGCAGTCATGGTGAGCGCGGGGGACCGGAGCTGGACAGGCGAGCGGCGGAGGAGCGGAGGGGGAGCGGCGGAGGGGGAGCGGCGGAGGGGGAGCGGGGGCCTCTGGCGGGCGGCCTCGGGGATGTGGACGTCCCGCCGCGGCCCTGGAGGGGCTCCGGCCTGCCTCCCCGCAGGCAGGGGGGCAGCAGGCTGGACGCGCGCAGGTGTCCTGGCGGGGAAGGCCCGGCCGAGCCGCGGGGAGGGTGCGGGAGCCCGGTGGGCCGCCCGCGGCTTTCCGCCCGCCGCCATTTCCAGGCCTGAGCCGAGGTTTGGCGGCTTTGCCGAGCTTTGCTAGGGTCGGCGAGGGCAGGCCTCGGGCCTGCGTGAGCCACTGGAGGAGCCGTGCGAGGCTGGCAGCGCCTCGGAGCGAGCGGGAGCCTCCCCGGGGAGATCGCAGGGTCCCAGAGCTGCAGGGTCAAGGCCGGGGCGGCCAGCATCCTCCCGACGGCCCTGCTGGCGGCTGACGCTGCTCTCTCGTCCGCCCAGAACTCCAACGTGGAGAACCTCCCTCCCCACATCATCCGCCTGGTGTACAAGGAGGTGAAGACGCTGACCGCTGACCCGCCTGATGGCATCAAGGTGTTCCCCAACGAGGAGGACCTCACTGACCTGCAGGTCACCATCGAGGGCCCTGGTGAGTCCGGGGAGTGGGGCCTGTGAAGAGCCGCTTTCCTCGCTGCCCGTCAGGCCTGTGGACAGCACAGGACACCGTGGCCAAGTGCGCTCTTGTCCAGAAGTGTCCCAGAAGTCTTGGCTGGCTGGGGGAGTGTGGGAGGTGTCCCAGGTGCAGGCCGGGTCAGATGGGACTTCCTGGGGAGCTGTGGAGGGCAGCCACAGGGCCCAGAACCCCGTCCCCTGTCCTGTGAGCACACAGGTGCAGCTTCCTGTCCCCTGACTGCAGCCATGGGGAGGGAGATAGTCCTGGTGTGGGGGCACAGCCTGCCTGACATAGTGGCCGTGAGGACTTCCTGGATGGAGATCTGGAACGTGATGTCCCCGGCAGGCCGACCTGGCCCTGGTAGGACAGAGGTTGGTAGGATACGGCTGGATCAGGAGAGCCCGCTCCTTTTGCGGGGTGAGGGCTTCAGTGGGTGAGCACCTGGGAAGCCCCCACACGGACGTGTCCAGAAGACAAGCTGCTGGAGTCTGCTTCCTGGGAGGGGCACCTGACTTGGGGACCACCCCCGGTAGCCACGGGGCTTGGTGCCATCACAGGTGGGCTGTCAGAGCAGTGGCAAACCTGAGGTGCAGTGTCCCCCAAGACCCCAGCCGGGTGGGTAAGAGGTTACCTGGAGAGGGGGCTTCCAGGGGCTGAAGTCCTGAACCCTCTGACTCCCATCTTCGCCCCTAGAGGGAACCCCGTATGCCGGAGGCTTGTTCCGCATGAAACTCCTGCTGGGAAAGGACTTCCCCGCCTCTCCCCCAAAGGGCTACTTCCTGACCAAGATCTTCCACCCTAACGTGGGCCCCAATGGCGAGATCTGTGTTAATGTGCTCAAGAGGGACTGGACAGCGGAGCTGGGCATCCGACACGTGCTGCTGGTGAGTCCGGGCTGGCCGGGGTTACTGTGCCTGGTTGGCTTGCGCTAGCCTGGTCATGGGAGTTGAGGTTCTCCTCCCGCGGGAAGCCAGGAATTCCGTGCTGCACCCAGGGCCCAGGGCCAGAGGTACAGCAGCCCGCTTCCTTCCCGCGGGTGGGGCCCACTAAGCCACGGGGTTGTTTGTCCGGCCATCACCCCTGTGTTGATTCTAGAATGTTATAAACTTGGTGTTTCCTGCAAAGGCTGGTCCGCACAGGGACGTTGTGCAGTGTCAGGAGATAGTTGCTGTAGCCTGGGAGGTGCAGGGCTGCCACTCCACACTGCAGTGCCTGCACAAGCCACCCAGAGCATGTGGGTCAGCTGGGCTGGGCGCAGGACGGACACTGTGCTGTAGCTTGTGGGGCGAGTTCCAGGCAGGAAGGGTGGCCCGCAGTGTGGAGCTATGGGATGGGCAGCCAGGCCTCCAGTTTGGAGGGTGGGCTCCTGGGTGCTCCCTGTTGGCTGTGATGTCTGCTGAGCAGGTGCCTGCACGTCACTGTATCCTGGGTTCCCACCTCGTTTGGGAGGCTCCGAGAGCCTCATCCGCTATTACAGTCGCTGCCCACTGGGGCCCAGCAGGTGCCACCGCCAGGAGCAGCCCACCTGCGTGGCAGGAACCCAGTTGCTGAGCCACCCCAATGGCATCCAGCAGAAAGGTGGAATCAGGAGCGAGCCCAAGCTCCGTGATGGGGCCACAGGCCGCTCCACGTCAGGCTCCCCTTCCTCTTCCCGGAAGTGTTCCAGGAGGACCATGGCCTGGAGCCATCGGAGGCCTGACGCAGGTCCCAGCTCTCACAGTTTGGGTGGCCTGACTCCTGACTAGATCACTTTCGAGTCACTGCCTGGGACACCCAGAACCTGACTGGAGTGCCTGGTTCAATTACCAGCTATTCTGCTGTGCCCCTTGGACGCGGCAAACGGTGGGAGTCCTGGGCTGCTGGCTTTGACCTGGCCAGCTCTGGCTCTTGTGGACATTTGGATCGCAAACCAGTGAGCTCTCCCTTTGTCTCTGCACACATTAGACTTGTAATGGAAGCCCTCGCTCCGTGGCCAGTCCCCTTTAGAATCTGCAGTGCCCAGACCCGAGTTCCTGGCGGGCCTGTGGAGGACCACGCGCTTGGGGCCAGGCTTGCTTCCGGACGGACACTGTCCTGACCTGCTGGGTGGCGTGGCCGTCCCTGACACCTGTGCTCTCCCCTCAGACCATCAAGTGCCTGCTGATCCACCCCAACCCCGAGTCTGCGCTCAACGAGGAGGCCGGCCGCCTGCTCTTGGAGAACTACGAGGAGTACGCCGCCCGCGCCCGCCTGCTCACCGAGATCCATGGCGGCGCGAGGGCCGAGGGTGGCCGGGCCCTGGTGAGTGGGGCTGCAGCCGCCTCCTCCGACCCTGGGGCCCCGGGAGGGGCTGAGGGCCCCATGGCCAAGAAGCACGCGGGTGAGCGCGAGAAGAAGCTGGCGGCCAAGAAGAAGACAGACAAGAAGCGGGCCCTGCGGCGGCTGTAGAGTCTCTCCTCCCCCTCCCCGTCCCTGTCCCCTCCCTCCAACTGTCTCTAAGTTATTTAAATTATGGCTGGGTGGGGGAGGGCGTGGGGGGCACTGGGACCTGGACTTGTTTTTCTAAATAAAGTTGGAAAAGCAGCTTTCCTGTCTGTCAGGCCACGGCCCCGGGCAGAGAAGCTGCTTCTGGTTCAGAGATGGGTGTGACAGGCTGGCAGCATGGCCACCCTGGCTGCCACTCCCTGCCCAGCTCCCTGCGGGAGACCCCGAAGCTTCTGCCTGACCCTCCTTGCCTTTGGCCACTTGGGAAGTGAAATGGGATGGAAGAGGGATCACTGCCTTGGCTGCTGTCTGCAGAGCTGGGATCCCACGTGGGTGCCAGTTTGAACCCTGCTAGGAGACGTAAGAGCTGGGGTTCTGGGCTTCTGGCTTCAGCCTAGACCAGCTGCGCTGGCTGGAGAGTGAACTCGTGGACAGAAGATTCTCTGCTTTTCTTTTCAAATAATTTTTTTTTAATTTGTTTTTATTGGAAAGTCAGATACACAGGAGGAGAGACAAAAAGGAAGATTTTCCATCTGTTAATTCACTCCCCAAGTGGCCACAATGGTCAGAGCTGAGCTGATCTGAATCCAGGAGCCTCTTCGGGCACAGGGTCCCAAGGCTTCAGGCTGTCCTCTGCTGCTTTCCCAGGCCACAGGCGGGGAGCTGGATGGGAAGCAGGTTCTAATCCTAGCGACTACATGGCATCCTGGTACATCTGGTCAGGTGAGGACTTCAGGTGTTAGGCTATGGTGCCAGGCCTCAAATACATTTATTTTTAAAGTTTGGTTTCACTTATTTGAGACACTTTGACAAAATTAACAAATGATAACTGATGACTTTGTGGCCGGGGGGCGGCACAGCTTAAGACTGGTGGCTATGCAGTTACGACACCCTCGGGATATAAAGGCACCTGTGCTTGGCACTGCCACCAGCGCCTCCCACCCCTGCTGGCTCGCTCCCTGCTTGGGGCCAGTGCTGAGCCAGGCCGGAGCAGGAGCGCCTGCAGGACTTCCAGGCTGCAGGGGCCCCAGCACTGGGCTCCTTACCCAGGCACGTTTAGCAAGGAGCCATAGGGAAGTGGAGCAGCCGAGACTAGCATACCTGGGATGCTGAAGCCTTCCAGGTAAGATGGAGGCCGTGGACATCACATTACTGCTTTCAGGTCACATGAGGCACAAGACACCTACAGGGGCTGGCACTGGTCAACACGCTAGTCCACCACACGCACCAGCATGCCATTTGAGTGCTGGTTCGTGTCCTGGCCGCTCTGCTTCGGCCAACTCGGTAGGCAGCAGAGGATGGCCCAGGTTCTTGCAAAGTATGAATGTCCTCTGCTAGCTGCTCGCTGCCACCCAGCCAGGAAGCAGCAGGCGGTGACTTGGTGCTGGGGTCCCTGTCCCTCCTGCCTTGTGTTTGCTGTGGGGAACACCCTGGGATTTGGGGTTCTCTCCATCTGGCTGCCTTTCCATTGTATAAACATACATGTTAATTTAACAGAACAAAAAGCAAGTGCCATCTCCAGCTGCTGGATCCTTTCCCATGAGCCCACGATGAGACAGGGAAGGGAAGAGTCAGCAACCCAGCTCTTTCCCCCTTGGGTGACAAGGGCTCAACTGCCAGAGCCACCACCTGCTGCCTCCCTGGAGGGCACCAGCAGCAAGTACAGCCAGGGCTTGAGATGGGCTGTTGGCACCCCAAGCAGTGCCAAATTCCTGTCCCAAGAACTTGACAGCACTCCCTCTCGTGGACTTCCTGTATGAGGATGAGACAAACACGGTTGTCCCCAAGGCCAGCCCAGTGCACAGCCCTGGACCTGGGACACGACCCCTGCACTGCCAAGAAAGCCCTGCTTCCAACAGGACACCCAGCCCAAGAGACATCTGCTCAGCCTGCAGCCCTGGAAACTTCTAGGGGTACACCTGGCATGTACCCCCCGGCACATACGTGACATTCCAGGCAGCAGGATGGCTCCAGAAATGAGGTCCCTGCCACCGGCACGGGAGACCTGGACTGAGTTGCAGCCTGGCTGCCCAGCACCGCGGTACAGTGTGCCAAACCTGCAAGCAGCAGAATTCCAGCTGCCAACCCCAGGGCCGGCTGTTTCACTTCTGTTCTGGAAAAGCGGATGGCCCAGTCTTTGGGTGCCTGCACCATAAGGGAGGCCTGGAAGAAACTCCTGGCTCCTCAGCCCAGCTCTGGCCATGGCAGCTGTCGAGGAGCCGGTAGTCTGCTCCAGTCTGTTCTTCCCGCTCACGCTGCCTGTCAAGTAAGAGTGAATCTTTTTTAAAAATTGGGCCTAATGCAATGGCTCAACTGGCTAACCCTCCCCTTGTAAGTGCTGGTGTGCCGTATTGGCACTGGTTCATATCCTGACCGCTCCACTTCCCATCCAGCGTCCTGCTTATGGCCTGGGAAAGTTAGGGTGGCTCAAAGTCTTGGGATCCCACACCTGTGTGGGAGACCTGGAGGAAGCACCTGGCTCCTGGTTTCAAATCGGCTTGCCTCGGGCCATTGCAGCCATTTGGGGAATCAACCAGCAGATGCAAATCTTTCTCTCCTTTTCTGTATGTCTGCATTAATTTTTTTTTTTTTTAAATCTGGAAAAGGCAGACATAGACATACAGAAAGCTCCTCCATCCGCTGACATACTTCCCAAGTGGCCTCAAAGACCAGAGCTGAGCCGATCCAGAGGAGCCAGGGGCTGCACGGGTAGAGCAACTGGTGCATGAATTTTCAGTATTTTTTTTTTAAGATTTATTTTTATTGGAAGGTCAGATTTACACAGATCTTCATCCACTGGTTCACTGCCCAAGTGGCCACAACAGCCGAAGATGAGCCAATCTAAAAGCAGGAGCCTCCTCCGAGTCTCCCATACCGGTGAAGAGTTCCAAGACATTGGGCCGTCCCGGACTGCGTTCCCAGGCCACAAGCAGGGAGCTGGATGGGATGTGGAACAGCTGGGCCACGAACCAGTGCATGCAATGTGAGGACATTAGCCACTGGGCTACTGGCACCAGGCCCATAAACAAACAAGTTTACTAAAGAATCTTTAGAAGAAAGCCTGTCACCATGGGTTTAGCATCCACTGCATCTGATGCCAGTATCCCACATGGTGCCAGCTCAAGGCTCAGATGCTCTCAAGCATATAGGTGCATTTCATGAAAATGTCCACAACTGCAACTCTATTTCCCAGGTTCAGATAAAAAGGCCAGGTTGAGGGGAACATCCCGGCTAGTAGCACACAGGCTGCCAAGCCGCTGATGGAGGCATTGAACCTTGAGGCAAGGCCCAGGAGCTCTGTCACATGGCAGCTTTGTGTGTCCAGGGACCCAAGGTGCACACCCCGTATGGTCATACAGGACTTGGGACCCAGTGCCTGAACCCTCCAGATGCCCCCTGCCTTCAGCGTGCTCAGGGCCCTCCATCAGCCAACCACCCCACACACATCACCCCTAAGGAGTTGATGCTGACCCATGAGTACCTACAACTCCTGGTCTGTGACATGCCCAGGCCATACCTCCTCAGAGACCCTGACCCATGGCAGGACCCACAGGTCATCTGTGGAGGACCACTTGCATGCCGTCAGGGGACAGGGGAGGGCAGGCAGAGGCCCAGTGCCTGGCCCTGCTTAGGTTGGGCTGACTCCGCGTGAAGGTCTTGCACAAGCCCCGTTTGGGACAATGTGCAAGGTGTGCAGCTGAGGCCAGCTGCCCTTCACGGCACTGGCCTGCACTCCCTGCCTGACCTAGCCGTCTGCATCAGGGAAATCTGCTCTGGACGATTACCATCACGCTGCCATCCCAGCAAGCTGCTCCACTTCCCACCGAGCTCCTGGCTATTGCACCTGCAGCAGCAGATAGTCCAAATGCTTGGGTTCCCACACTCACGCAGGCTCCCCAGCCCAGCTGTTTGTGGTCATGTGCTCCTTGCCCAAGCCACTACCTGGGAGCTGGAGCACAGGTGCCATACAGGACTTCTGAGCTTACAAGGGGACGAGCAGATTTAGCCACCGTGGTGGGCCCAGGCCCAGGGCCCAGCAAGTAGGTGTACATAATGAATTCCTGTTAGACTAGCCAGGCCATAGCACCTGCTCGCATGGTACAAACGGCAGTGAAGGAGGGATACAGGCCACAACCTAAGCTATGACACCACCACCTGCTAGACTAACCCTGACACTGAGCAGCCGCCATGCCAGGATGGGATGAGGAACTCAAGCCCTGGAGCTGGCCCTGTTAGGGAAAGCTGAGGATTCCTGCTAGGCTGCTGCTCCCACTGGTGAACGCAAACCAGGGTATGTGCAGACTGCACCAGACTACACAAAGCACTGCCTACTGGTGAGCCAGGACCTAACTTGGATAGGCCCTGTCACCGACTAGCTCACCGAGTGAAGGTCTGGAGGGGGGGGGGCTGGGAGCAAAGCCCCGCAGAGAAGCTTGAGCACAAGGCAGCATCTGCTGGGTTGGACACCTGCCAGTTCACACAGGATGGAAACCCCTCCCTCCCTATTTCTATTCCCATGCAGGCAGCAGACACCTGGGGAGGAGTGGATGAGAAGCCAACCTGTGTTTGTGCCTCTGCCTGCATTACCAGAGTCCATGGGAGAGAACCGAGAGCAGCTTCAAGCGCTGGAGCATAGTGCAGGAGTCAGAGCCCACATCCACACCCCACCTGGGACACAACTCCGGCCACACCTTATGCCACCCGAGGCACCAGTGCTGAAGGCATTAGAGGCCCACCAGAACCGTAATGACCTGCGTTCAGCGCCAGGCCCAGCGGGTAGCAAAGTCCCGAGAATCTAAAACACTGGGGTTGGTGCTGCAGCACAGCAGGGCGAGCCTCGAGCCGAGACAGCAGCTGCCCACACAGGGACAGGATTCATAGTCGCCTAGGAAGGCTGCCTTAAGTTGGCCCTTGTACTTGCAAAACCCAGATGCCGCTCCTATTGCCCGCCTTGGCCAGCCATTGCAGCCAACGGGGCAACAGACCCGTGGACGAAGATCAGCCAACTCCCCCTTCCACGTCTGGTAACTAGGGAGGGGAGAGTGCCACCTCAACAGGCTTTCCCTTCACCTGCCAGTGCAACCACTGCACAGGACTACTTGCAATCCACAGGAGTGGGTGCAGAGCTGACCACTCACCTTGCTGCATGCCTGCACCTGCCCCCATCAGACCCCCAAGCATTCACAGCGTGAACAAAGCGCAGCAGACTCGGCCTCCTCCTAGGACCTCCCCCAGCACCACAGGGGGTCATCCCAGGAGTCCACTGCCGCCACTGGAATGTGAACCTCGTGTTCTCCCTCCTAGAATGAGTTCTCCCTCCTAGAATGACCGTTCAGACGCTTTAAATAATAATAATAAAAAAAAAAACGTGGAGCGATCTTCTGGAAACCAGAAAATCGCCCTTGGTGCTCCAGGTAATCAGGTTAGATGTCCAGGGCCGACACCTTGGCCCTGACAAGCTGACACTGCCTGTTTTTTGCAAGACCAGTGTTGCCTGCAGGAAGTGTAGCAGCCACCTGGAATGTCCACCTACCACAGGGGACACCATCGGCTGCCTGCCTGCAGCAGCCCACTGTTGACCCAATGAACCAACCGCGCGACAGAACCAGAGGGAGCTCTCATCTCTCCTCCCCCAGCGTGGGCCAGGCCCTGGCACGGCCCTCTCCTGCAGGGACACAGGCCAGGCAATAGGTAACGGTCAGACTCTTTATTGCTGGGGGCCGGCGGCTCAGGCGCTCTTGGTGGGACGTGTACGCTTCCTCTTCACCATCACGGGCTTCTGGCTGCGCAGGATGGCGCTGGCTCTGCGGATGGCAGCCTGGGGAGGAGCAGGCCCGCTCAGCTCACAGCGCCAAGCTGCCCAGGCACCCACCCCCCATGCCCATCCCGGTGCCCGCTCACCATGCGCAGGTCGGGGCGGTACTTGTTCTTGCGGATCATGTGCCGGATGCTGCTGAGCGTGGCCCGCGCATTCTTGTTGATGGTGGTCCGCACGTAGGAGGTGGCCGGCTTCCGCTGGCCTGGATGGGCAGAGCCCTAGGCTCAGTCCAGACACCGCCCAAGTGCACCTTGCAGTGCCAGGTCACCACCTCCCACGGGCACCCCGAGCACCCAGTTCTCCCACTCCAACTGCCTCCTGGAGGAACCGTGTGCTAAGCAGGGGTCAGAGCCCTGGCTCAACTGCATTACAGAGAAGACCAGAGCTTTCCAAAGGCACTTCCCAGGCCAGTAGGGTTAGAGCCCGCAGGAGCCAGCCAGCAGGACCCAGCGAAGCTGCTGCCACACCCACGAAGCACGCAGCCCCTGCACAGCAGCAAGGCACCGCCACCCCCTCCACCCCAGTCCTAGGCACCGCCACCCCCTGCACGTCCCTGGGCACCACTACTCCATGCATGTCCCTGGGCACAGCCACCTCTCCAGCCCGGCCCTGGGCACTGCCACCCCTCCAGCTCGTCCCTGGGCACTGCCACCTCTCCAGCCCGTCCCTGGGCACTGCCACCTCTCCAGCCCGGCCCCGGGCACAGCCATCCCTGGACACTGCCACCCCTCCAGCCCGGCCTCGGGGCACAGCCATCCCCTCCAGCCGTCCCTGGGCACTGCCACCCTCTCCAGCCCGGCCCTGGGCACTGCCACCCCTCCAGCTCGTCCCTGGGCACTGCCACCTCTCCAGCCCGTCCCTGGGCACTGCCACCTCTCCAGCCCGGCCCTGGGCACAGCCATCCCCTCCAGCCATCCCTGGGCACTGCCACCCCTCCAGCCCGGCCCCGGGCACAGCCATCCCTGGACACTGCCACCCCTCCAGCCCGGCCCCGGGGCACAGCCATCCCCTCCAGCCGTCCCTGGGCACTGCCACCCTCTCCAGCCCGGCCCTGGGCACTGCCACCTCTCCAGCTCGGCCCCGGGCACCCCACCCTCCCTCCACACTCCCTACACGTCCCGCCCAAGTCGGCGCAGCCCGCCCAGCACCCGCCCGCGCTCACCGCTCCGGCGCTTCATGACCACCACGACGCCCTTGCCGTCCGCCGCCGGCTCCACGCCCACGGTCTTGCGGTGGATCAGCCCGTTGTAGCGGAATGAGTTCCGGGCCTTGAGGTTATTGGGCTCCGTGCTGTATGTCTGCTTGTTCCTCTTGATGAGGAAGCTGGAGCAGTTACGCACGACCATCCACTGCAGGTGCGCGGACATGGCGGCGGCGACTAGGGAGACAAGAGAGGGGCCGCCGTTAAAGAGGCGCCCGGGAGTGCCCTCCCGCCCCCGGCTGCCCCGTGGGAAACGCGAGGGGAGGCTGAGGGCGAAGGCCGCGAACGGCAGGCAGAAGCAGCGGCGTCCGCGCCAGGCCGCCACGCCGGGCGCACAAGGCGGCCACGCTCACCTCCTCTCGCTCGGAAGGCCGGAGACGGAAAGAGGCCGGCCGGGGGCGGGGCGAAACCTTTAATACTGCACACGCATTTCCGCTTCCGCTCGAGGCCTGCGCCAGCGACGGCTAGGCCCTCCTCTTCCCGGGAGAGGGCGGTGAGTGAGCGCTGTTCGGCTATTTCCGTCGACCCGTCCGGTGGGGCTCGGGAATCTCCGGAGCTCTTTTCGGCCTGAGAGCCGAGGGCGTGGTGCTGGGGTGCAGCAGAGCCGGTCAGAGGCGCGTTCTTCAGCGACACCCCTTCGGGCGTGCCCCATATGGGTGCCGGTTCTAATCCCGGCAGCTCCACTTCCCATCCAGCTCCCTCTCTGTGGCCTGGGAAAACAGTCGAGGACGGCTAAAAGCCTTGGGACCCTGCACCCATGTGGGAGACCTGGAAGAGGCTCCTGGTTCCTGGCTTCGGATCAGCGCAGCACTGGCCTTTGCGGCTGCTTGAGGAGTGAATCATAGGATGGAAAATCTTTCTCAATGTCTCTCTGTATATCTGGTTTTTGCAATAAAAAGAAATACATCTTTAGGAAAAAAGGAGACAAAGTAGAGAAATTCTCCATCCACTGATTACTCTTCCTCCCCCCCCCCCAAAAAAAAAAATTGAAAACGCTGGAACTCTAGCAGGGTCTCCATCCACACTTGGGGCAGGAGCCCAGGCGCCACAGCCCTAAATGCTGCCCCTAGAACGTCTTAACAGGAAGCAGGATGAGAAGCAGAGCTGCGGCTCAGACCCAAGCAGTACCTCGAGGGGTGCTGGCGTCCTCCCTGGCTGTGCCCTGCTGCTTCACACACCTGTCTATGGTGGCCATCCGCCCTGTGCCCTGCACGCCTCCAACGCCCTGCAAGTGTATTGTGTGCGGGCAGGGGCACCCGTTAGTGGCAGCTGGTTTGCCTACTCCCCCACTCTGGGGCCGGGGAAGCCTCTGGAAGCCCTGGGCATTGTGGCCATTTGCGTGTGAACCAGCAGATGGAAGAACCGCTCTCTTCTCTCATCCTCAAACTTCCAAATGGATGGATCTTTATTTTAAAAAAAGAAGACGAAGAAGACGAAGAAAAGTTTTAGGTCTTTAAATGCTCCTGGTGTGGGGACCCACCCAGCCTCCTGTGATCCGACTCCACCTTCCCAGGGAGCCTGGCGCATCCCGGAGCGCGCAGGATGCGTCCAGGGGGGCACGGGGAGCTCTGACCACCAGTCGCCTTGCTCCTTGAGGGGCACGGGGTCCTGGGCCACCCCAGCCCTGTGCAGAAGCTCCCGCGGAGGGGCTCCCCTAACCGGCGGGGCAGGCTGCTGGCAGCCCAGCTCAGGTGACCGGGCAGGGCGGCTGGGCACACCTGGCGCCGTCCCCAGACCCCGCCCCGAGCCGGGCCGCACCCCGGAAAGCTCTTTGTGCGCAGCGAGCCAAGGAGGGAGCGGCGGGGCCATGGCGGCGGTGGCGGCGGTGTGCGCGTCGCAGGGACCCCCGCCGGGCGCACCGTCGGCGCCGGTGCCCGCTCCCGCGCCCGCGGCCGGCTTGGGGCGCTGCCGGATGGCGCTGCTGCTGGCCGTGGCGCTGGACGTGGCGGGCATGGCGGCGCTGCTGACGGGCGTATTCGCGCAGCTGCAGGTGCGCGGGCGCGACTTTGGCGACCTGCTCATCTACTCGGGCGCGCTGCTGGTCTTCCTGAGCCTGCTGGGCTGGATCCTCTGGTACACCGGCAACATTGAGATCTCACGCCAGGAGCTCGAGCGCGATTACGGCCTGCGGCCCTCGGCACTCGCCCGCCTGGCGCGCAAGCTCTCCCGCCGCTGGTCGGCGCCCGCCGCTGCCGCAGGCCCTCGCGCCTTATCCGGCTCCCGGGGCGCGCGCCGTGCCGCCCGTGCGCCCCCGCCACCCGCCGCCGGCTCCCGCCGCGTGCGCCTGCAGCTGGCCACGCTCGAGGCCGGCCCGGCGGCGGCGACGGGCGCGGGCAGCGAGTGAGCCCCCAAGGTGAGCGGGACCGAGCGCCAGAGTCGCTTGGCTAGGGGGAGCCAGAGTTGGGCACGGGCAACCTGGAGAATGCAGGAGCCCAAACGCCCACCCCGGAGAAGAAGCGAGGGCGGGTGCGGGAAAAGCCAAGGCCCTTGGCGCTCCTGTGGCCTATGAAGCCTCCGATGAGAGTAAGAAGCAGGCCCAGAGAGGTGTCGCCTTTGTCCCAGCGCCTCCAGACCAGGGTTCTCTGTGCAGAGGCTGGAGAACTGTCCTCTCCAGCCTGCCTGCTTCCCCTCAAGCACCTGCTGTAGCTGGCTGCCTGTGGCACTCCGGCCACACCGACACACTCCCTGGTCCCCGCGTGGCTGCAGTGAGGACAGCCCAGGCTCCAGACGTGGCCTGAATCCTTAGGATATGGAAAGGCGGTTCCAGAGAGGGAGCATTCTTGCATCCTGGGCTTCACTCCCCACATGACCAGGACAGCCAGGGCTGGCCCAGACCCGAGTTGGGACTCCACTCAGGCCTCCCACACGTGAGTGCAGGCTCCTGTGGACTTGGGTCACCTGCTGCTGCTTTCCCAGGCCGTTTGCAGGGAGCAGCCTGGACTCCAAGCAGCACCCATATGGGATGCCAGGCTGTAACAAGAGCTTCCACGTTATGCTGTTGAAACTCTGATGTCAGGGGCAGGGAGCCTTTTTGTTTGTTTTCTGTCAAGGGTTATTTAGGTATTTGTCTCATTTGTGAATGAAAGTTGTCAGCTTAGAGTCAGTCTGCCTAGGAATGGCTGAGTTTCCTGGGCCTGGCTCACACCGTCCTCTATGCTCTTCACACCAGGATGTCCTTGCTGTGTCCACACTCCCCAGACAACATCTCTCCAGTGGCCTTTAAGAACTGACGGTGGCCGACGCCGCGGCACAGTCTGCCAAGCTGCCACCTGTGCTGTCAGTGTCTCACACAAGTGCTGGTTCGAGTTCCAACTTCTCTGATTCTGATTCAGCTTACTGCTAATGCTCTGGTGAAAACTGTACAAGATGGACCCCTGCACCCACGTGGGAGACCCAGACGGAGTTCCAGGCTCCTGGCACTGGCCTCACCCAGACAGCCATATGGGAGTAAACCAGAAAATAGATCTCCCTGTGTGTGTGTGTGTCTGTTTCTCTATATATAACTCTTTCTAACAAAATAAATATTTTTTTTTAAAGAGTGGTTATATATACTTAGGGTGAAAAAAAGAACCAGCTCAACTACTCTGTCCTTCTATGGGTCTGAGTGTGTGTGTGTGTCCTGGTTCTGTCTCTCCCGCCACACAGGCAGATGTCTGGAGGGTAAACGCTGGTTTGGTGTCATTTTGCAGTGAGCAGTGTGACACAAAGCTGATGCTTAGCTAGGTGAATAGAGAGGTGGGTGAGTTGACGGAAGGATGGGTCAGCGGATGGTAGAGGCATAAAAACTGGATTGGTCAATGGTTAGAGTGGTAGATGGGTTGTTTAGTAGGTAGGTGTGGGTGGCTGGTGGATGGGTCAATGAATTGGTTTCTGAATGGACATGGTTGGATTGGTTGGAGGAGAATGGATGTGTGAGTAGATGGATGGGTGGGTAGGTGGATGAGTGGGTGGATGGGTGTGTTGGTGGATGGATGGGTGGGTGAATGGACGGGTGGACAGGTAGATGGATGGATAGATGGATGGATGGGTAGGTGAATGGACGGGTGGACAGGTAGATGGATGGATGGATGGATGGATGGATGGGTGGGTGAATGGACGGGTGGACAGGTAGATGGATGGATGGATGGATGGATGGGTGGGTGAATGGACGGGTGGACAGGTAGATGGATGGATGGATGGGTGGGTGAATGGACGGGTGGACAGGTAGATGGATGGATGGATGGGTGGGTGAATGGATGGGTGGACAGGTGGATGGATGGATGGGTGGGTGGATGGGTGGTGTGATGACAGACATGTGATTGGAGGAACAGAGGCTGGAGTAGTGACTAAATCGATTTCCACATGAATTATTTTCACAAGGGGACGCAATGCTGCTGTGCCAAGACATGTGTGCAGCTGCTTGTGGTAGTCTGTGAGAACCCCCATTCCACAGTGCAGAGGAGGACACTGGCTTCAGAAAGGACCTGCACAAGTGTTCCCAGAGGCTGAGCCAAAGCCTCTAATCATCCTCGAAAACCCGTTAGCCCGCTGAGAGTCCAGCACCAGCTCCCTCTCTGGTGGGCCCATTCCAACCCAGGGCCTGTCCCGTGTGCGGGCGGCACACCAAGGCCTCGGGGCTGGATTCTAAACAGACCCCAACCCGGGAGTCCTACGGTTCCCTGGGAAAGCCAAGGCAGCTGAGGGCCAGAGCTTCCCCCACCTTGTTTCCTTTGTCCCTCCTCTTTCCCTGTCCATCTCTCTCTCTCCCTGCCTTTCCTTGCCTCCCTTGTTCCAGGACATGGTACCCAGTCACTGGCACTCCCGCAGGCTTAGGCACACCCACTGGGAGCACTGCAGCCAATGGGGCAGCAGAAATGAGGGAAGCCTGCAGGAGAGCTGGAAACACAGGCCTGGGGGAGGAGTCCTGCAGGAGCAGCCACTGCTGCTCCCCCAGCCCTACAGCAGACTCCCAGCTGTGCACCTGCTGCCGGGACACCCACTCAGCCACCTCGCACCGACACCTGAATAAAGGCCTCTTGCCTGTTCATCTCTTGGTGGCCAGGCCCAGTTCCTTGCTTCCCTCCAAAGGTTGGGGCCCATGGGGGTTTGCCCACTGCCCCCTTGGGGGAACCCAGAGCCCCCAGGAGATACAGGAGGGGGGCATTACACATGCTCTTCAAGGGGACCCAGAAGCCACCTGCTCAATCTGTGTGGATTTGGGGCCTCCAAGAAGCAGATGCTGGGACACACTGGATCTGTGGAATGTTTATTGGGGAAAGTACTTCCAGGGAAGGAGTGACGGGAGCAAAGATGACTCCTGCCAGGCTGGGGTGGCGTTGGGAGGAGGTATGAGGCACGCTTGCAAGCTTTCAGCCGGCAGTGAGGAAGTGTGGGAGTCCAGGCTGTGGCCAGGATTGGAGGAGGGGCCGGGTGAAGAGGCAGGGAGTATGTGAGACCTTGGAGCTTCCAAGCAGCAGGAGGCTGGGGGCTCATTTCCAGGGTTGTAGTGAGACCCTCCCTACAGCTCAGCCCCCACTATTCCCCAGCTGCTTCAGTCTAAGGGCCCCTCTTGTGGGACCACAACCTGAGGCCCCCATTCAGCCCAAGTCCCCTTCAACTCAGGTACTCTGCCCACCAACTTAGCCCAGACTGCTTGCAGCTCAAGGTACCCACGACCAAGCCCCTTCAGCTCTGACAGCAGCCCCCTGCCCCGCCAACCCACACAGGTCCCCATGGGGGCACCTGCTTCTCCAAGAAGAAACCATAGCTCATATACTCTGTCTTTATTGAGGGGACCCCCAAAGATGCCCCTAATCTTCATCCTCTCCCCCTTCCGTTTCCTCGCCGCCTTCCGTGGTTCCCTCCCCTTCCATGCCCATGTCCCCCTCCACAGGCAGGACAGCGGGCATGCTGCCGACCGATGGCGTCTTCTTCTCGCTGGCCCGGTCCTTGGACAGCAGTGAGACCGTCCTGGACAGGTCGCATTTGCCTTGAAGGAACATGGGCAGGTGCACCAGGTCTCGGCGTTTGGCCCACCTGTAGGAAGGGAGCGAGAGATGGCATGAGCTCTGCCAGAACTCCCAGGGGCATGGCCTCCCCTGCCCCTGCCCCACACGCCCCACACACTCCACAGCCCGGCCGTCCCACTCACCAGAACAGGCAGATGCTGCAGATCAAGAAAAGGAGGCCTCCGCACGTCCAGCCCAGCGCCCACATGTGCTTCCTGCGCATATTTTCTACCACAAGGAGGCGGTGTGAAGCTGCACAGCCGCCCCCTCCCCACCGCCGCCGCCCGCCCGCCAGGCCCCGGCCCCGGCCCCGGCCCCGGCCCCGGCCCCGGCCCCGGCTGGGCCCTCACCATCAGGCCGCTGGTGGTAACACACGCCGTCACGGTAGCAGCATCGCAGGCGCAGGCACAGGTTGGGGTTCTCGATGGCCGCCTGGCCCCCGCAGCTCTCACGGTCCCACACATCCCCCTCACAGCCTGGGGGCCAGTCACAGCACATAGCTTTGGCCCTGAGCCTTGGGGACCTCTCACCCTGGAGCCTCCAGTGGTCAGGCCTGGGGCTGCCTGCTTCACCTATGCAGGCCTGGGGGTCCCCAGCACCTCCCTCAGCCCCAGCCCTCCTCCTCAGCCCCAGCCCTCCTCCTCAGCCCCAGCCCTCCTCCCTCAGCCCCAGCCCCCCCTCAGCCCCAGCCCTCCTCCCTCAGCCCCAGCCCTCCTCCCTCAGCCCCAGCCCTCCTCCCTCAGACCCAGGCCCTCCTCCCTCAGCCCCAGCCCTCCTCCCTCAGACCCAGGCCCTCCTCCCTCAGACCCAGCCCTCCTCCCTCAGACCCAGGCCCTCCTCCCTCAGACCCAGCCCTCCTCCCTCAGCCCCAGCCCTCCTCCCTCAGCCCCAGCCCTCCTCCTCAGCCCCAGCCCTCCTCCCTCAGCCCCAGCCCTCCTCCCTCAGACCCAGGCCCTCCTCCCTCAGCCCCAGCCCTCCTCCCTCAGCCCCAGGCCCTCCTCCCTCAGCCCCCAGCACCCCCCTCAGCCCCAGCCCTCCTCCCTCAGACCCAGGCCCTCCTCCCTCAGCCCCAGCCCTCCTCCCTCAGCCCCAGCCCTCCTCCCTCAGCCCCAGCCCTCCTCCCTCAGACCCAGCCCTCCTCCCTCAGACCCAGGCCTTCCTCCCTCAGACCCAGCCCTCCTCCCTCAGACCCAGCCCTCCTCCCTCAGACCCAACACTCCTCCCTCAGACCCAGGCCTTCCTCCCTCAGCCCTCCTCCCTCAGCCCCAGCCCTCCTCCCTCAGCCCCAGCCCTCCTCCCTCAGCCCCAGCCCTCCTCCCTCAGAACTGGGAGTCCACTGGGCTCCCTCCCTGTGGGCCCCAAGGGGTTGGCCACTGCTCACTCCACGGATAGAAGAATCCCTGGATTCCATTCCCCTCTGTGGAGGAAAAGCAGCAGTTAGGGCTGGAGTGGGCCCAGACAGGCCCGCCCACAGCCCACCCCGGCCCTCTCCTCAGCACCCTCACCTACGGTGCCCTGCAGCAGCAGGAGCAGGCCCAGCACTGGGATCCCAGAGCCCACCATGTCGCCTGCCCAGACTCCTGGGGCCTCTGTGGAGAGAGCTCTGGGGGGCATCGCCCAGCAACAGCCCGGCCCCGCCCACCTGTCCTGTCCCCTGCCCCAGGGCTCCAAGTTCTGTTGCCAGGGGAGGGGCGGGTACAGGGAGGGCTCCCCCAGGTCTGGCTAAACCAGTGTCTAGGGGGCAGCCTCAGGTGTGTGGGGGGTCTTGGGCTTTGAGAGTCTGTCCAGGCGCTGGGGCCAGGAGGTGCCCAGAAAGGGATTGAGGGGGGCAGGCAGCTCCCTCTAATTCACCAAGACTCCCAGGAAAGTAGGTGTGGAGAAGTGCCTCCCTCCAGGGAGTCCCTCCCCTTGATCTGAAGGTGGCCACCAGTGGCCTTGTTGCTAAGAGCAACCAGGGGAGGGTTTCCCTGACAGCTAACCTCACTGAGCCCCATTGTTAGGGAAGGGTCTCCCCCAGCAACCGCGAGGGGGACCTGAGGAGGAGGAGACAATGGTGCCAGAGCCCCAGGCTGGCCCCTGGCCAGGACTACCCGCCCTCATGCCACCTGGCCAAGAGGGGCTTTAACTGTTCATTGCCAGAGACTGGCTGGCTGCCCAGTAGGGCCCCGTGGAAGCCCCATTCTCTCCTTAGACTCAGTCTTTCCACCTGTGAGCAGGGTGGGAGGACTCTGCCTCCCATGAGGGAAGCCAGGTTGGGGGACTGCGCTGCGACCATTAACCTTAGCTTACCTGCCCAGACATCAAAGCAAGAAAGGGCCAGGACCCCCGAGTCCAGCAGATGAGAGCACGGGGCCCTGGACGTCTGGGTCTGAGTGGGCAGGGGTCGGACTCCTGCGGTGTCCTGCTCTGGTCCATAAACATCCTGGTGGGTACCTCCGTCAGAGATGACACAGGTCCGAGGGGGCTCGGCAGGGGGCCGGGGGTGGGGGTCAGAGGGGCTCCCGGGCTGAGGCCTGGCAGCTGCCGCGTTTCCTGTGTCAACATCAGCTGGACCCACTTCCCAATTCCCGGGATTCCTCAGGGATCAAGGAGGGGGTGGGGGGCGGGGCGGCCGGCCCGGGACTGCGGCTCCGGACTGGGGAGGCCCCCAGCCGTCACGGCTTCCACCACTAATGACAGGTTTGAGCTGCCTCTGCGGCTGGCCGGCCTCGTCACCCCGGAGAGGCCAGACGGGACCCCCCAGGGACAGACAGACGGACACACACGGCCTCCGGCCTCGGACCTGCTGACCTCACTCCCGGCCAGCCCCACCTCACCCAACAGGGACGGCCTTCTCCCCCGGAAAGCCACCCCCACCCAGCTCCCAGGGGCTGCTGCACCCCAAGGGTCTGGGACTGGCCTCCCAGCCTCCCCCTGACCCCCAACTTGTCGCCAAGCCTTGGGGCTGGTCCCTGGCCCCAGCGTTATTTGCAGCTCTGTCTTGTGGTCCTGTCCCTATTTCGGTCTCCCTCTGTCATCTGTCCTTCCTTGGGATTCCCCAGCCCTGTCCCTCACTTGCTGAGTTGCTTTGACTTACAGGGAAGTGGCCCCAAGCATCCTACCCAGGGTAGACTCAGGAGCCCAGCTCAATGTCTGGGTTCGAGAGTCACCCCAGGAAAAGAGTGACAAAGTCTGACCCCACACCTCCCTCCCAGGGAGAACCCAGACTAGAGATGATTTATTCCTGGCTCAATGTGCCCTCAGGCACCAGGGATTCCTTCGAGTCTTTCAAAACTAGGGTTTAGACCCACAAGTCTGAGGGAGGAGGGTCTGGGCTGGACCCCTGGGTGTGAGGGAGGAGGGTCTGGACCCCTGGCTGTGAGGGAGGAGGGGCTGGGCTGGACCCCTGGCTGTGAGGGAGGAGGGGCTGGGCTGGACCCCTGGCTGTGAGGGAGGAGGGTCTGGGCTGGACCCCTGGCTGTGAGGGAGGAGGGGCTGGACCCCTGGCTGTGAGGGAGGAGGGTCTGGACCCCTGGCTGTGAGGGAGGAGGGGCTGGACCCCTGGGTGTGAGGGAGGAGGGTCTGGACCCCTGGGTGTGAGGGAGGAGGGTCTGGGCTGGACCCCTGGTCTGAGGAAGGAGGGGCTAGGGGCCTGAACTCGCAGTCTGAGATGAGGAAAAGGGGGCTGGGGGCCTGGCCCTTGCCACCCCCTCGGTGGCAGGCCTGGTATCCCCATCCTCTTGAGCCAGGCCATCCCCCAGGCTGGTGGCCTGAGTCACCTTGGCTGGCCTCGCTGGTCTGGAGGGAGGGGGACGTCAGCTCTCCGTCAGCTCTCCCCTCACTGACGCAGCCTTGGGCCCCTCACGCTGACTCAGCCGGAAACAGGCCCCCTGAGGGGCGGAGACCCAGTGGTCAGTGGCCTGGGTCCCTGTGGGAACCAGCCGGGAGGGCCCCTGGGGGGCCCTGGAAGGGGCAGCCGTGAGAGAGGGAGGAGGCAGAGAGACTCACCTGGGGCAATGAGCTCATGTCCCACCCTGGGGGGCTGTGACCTCACCTCCTTGGGGCCCACAGCAGTGGTGGTCCCCCACTGTGGTGGCAGATGGAAAGGGGAAGCTTGCAACAGCCCTCACCCCCAGAGCCACCCCAAGCCTGGCGCAGCCCTCGCAGGGGCTCCTGTCACCCCCAGAGCTACCCCAAGCCTGGTGCAGCCCTCGCAGGGGCTCCTGTCACCCCCAGAGCCAGCCCAAGCCTGGCACAGCCCTCACAGGGGCTCCTGTCACCCCAGAGCCACCCCAAACCTGGAGCAACCCTCGCAGGGGCCCTGTCACCCCCAGAGCCACCCCCAGCCCACCGCAGCCCTGTTGGGGCTCCTGTCACCCCCAGAACCAGTCCAAGCCTGGCGCAGCCTTCATGGGGCTCCTGTCACCCCCAGAGCCAGTCCAAGCCTGGCGCAGCCCTCGCAGGGGCTCCTGTCACCCCAAGAACCAGCCCAAGCCTGGCGCAGCCTTCATGGGGCTCCTGTCACCCCCAGAGCCAGCCCAAGCCTGGCGCAGCCCTCGCAGGGGCTCCTGTCACCCCCAGAGCTACCCCAAGCCTGGCACAGCCCTCGCAGGGGCTCCTGTCACCCCCAGAGCCACCCCCAGCCCACCGCAGCCCTGTTGGGGCCCCTGTCACCCCCAGAACCAGTCCAAGCCTGGCGCAGCCTTCATAGGGCTCCTGTCACCCCCAGAGCCAGCCCAAGCCTGGCGCAGCCCTCGCAGGGGCTCCTGTCACCCCAAGAACCAGCCCAAGCCTGGCGCAGCCTTCATGGGGCTCCTGTCACCCCCAGAGCTACCTTCTAGTCCAGCCCATCTCCCTGACTTGGGGACTTGGCCATGACTGACGGCTACCTGCAGCCCCATAAGGTCTAATCTTCCCCTGCCATGCCTGTGTGGGCATCACTGCTTCCCCCGGCCCCTGGGTCCCCTCTCACCCCATCCCCCTGCCTGGGCTTGCCAGGGCCCACCCTGCCTACCCCCACCCTTTCCTCAGGAGCATCCCCCGGGCCTCCATCTCAGCCTGCTTGTAGGTGCTAATAAAATTTAACGGTGACAACAGCGATGATTAACGTTTATTGAGTGGCTCACTTTGCCCTGTTGCCATGGCATGTTGTGGGTGGGGTGCCCTTGCTGTGCCCACTCCACAGATGAGGAAACTGAGGCACGGGAAGGACAGAGGTGCTGCCTTGCTGGAAGTGTCGAGGCCCTCTTCCTCTGGGTCCCTGGCATCAGAGTCTGCCCCTCTCCTGCCTTCGTGTGTACACCTGCCTTTGGCCGTGGCCCTGACCTCTCGCACACCGTCCAGCCTGGTCTCCCGCCCCAGTGTCCTGCTCTGTGCTGGGTGTTTTCCTGTCACCTGTCCGCTCCTTGCTGACCACGGGAGCCCCTCTAGCCTCTGGGTCCAGGTTCCTCCTGCTGTATTCTCGCTCCCGGGACCTCTCTCCCCATCTGCATGGCTGACCCTGGCCCCCTGCCCCTGCTGTGCTCTGCCCAGTGTCCCCGCGGTGGCTCCTGGCGCCTCCCCATCTCTCCCTGCCCATCTGCCTGCCTGCCGCCCTAGTCCAAGCCAGACCCCCCAGCCACCCACGACGAGGCCCCCCACTCCGGCAGCCGTGTGTGTGCGTGTCTGTGTGTATGTGTGTCTGCCCCGACCGACCGTGGAGGTGGAGGGAGGGGACGCCAATGACCTCACCAGCCTCTCTCTCCGACCACCCCCCCTTTCCCTTTTCAACTTTTCCAACTTTTCGTCGGAGCGGCGGCGGCCTGAGCCCTACTAGAGCCGGCTCCGTCTGAATGGAAAAGGCAGGCAGGGAGGGTGAGTCAGGATGTGTCAGGCCGCCCTCCCCGGCCGCCTGCCCCCCGCCCGCCGCCCTGGCCCCCTATATAACCCCCCAGGCGGACACACTCCCTCACTGCCGTGGCCCTGCTGCCTGAGCTCATGCCTCCCCTCCCCAAGCCTCGGACAGGGAAAGGGTTAAAGGCCGCCCCCCCTGGCTCCCGGCCCTAGGGAACCCCTGGCCCTGTGGGGACATGAACTGTAAGTTGGTTCAAGTTCTTGGGATGGGGGACAGAGAGGGCGGGAAGGGAGGCGGAGGGTGGGGACCAAGCACCCAGTGGAACCCCAGGAGGCAGGAGGGCAAGGTGGGAAGCTAGGACGAGAGAGGGGACAGGGACTGGGGCAGATGCTGGCGGGCGACCCCAAGGACCACGGCTGTCGACGGGCAGAGGAGCCCCGAGCTGGGTGCAAACACCGGGGGGGAAACTGAGGCAGGGAGCGCGCCAGAGAGACAGACGGAGAGAGAGAGGCAGGGGTGCGCGGGCCGGACAGGCGGCGGGCGGACGGACCGACGGACGGCCGGCCAGGGGGCGGGCTGGGGGTGTGCGGCGAGCGGGGCGGCCCGGGGGGCGCTGATTGGCTGGCGGCCGCCAGGGTGGGCGGGGCGGGGGGGATGGGCGGCGGGCAGGGGGCGGGCCGCAGCCCCCGCGCCCCGAGCTCGCGTCCCGGGCTGCGCGTCCGGGGCTGCGCGTCCCGCGTGCCTCTCGGCCCAGGTGCGCCGGGCGCCGCGGACCTGGCCTCCCGGGCCGGCTGGCGAGGACGCTTTGCCCGGGAGCAGGGGGTGCAGGAGCCCCCCGGTATCTCCGGGCCGCGGCCCCCGGCCCTGGCTCCTTCCCTGCGCCCTGCCCGGCTCGGGCTCCGGGGCCCGAGGAGGGGGCAGGTTCTGGCCTGTGCCTCCCCCCTGCACGCCCCGCCCCGGGGCCCAGATTCCGGCGTCCGGGGGCGGACGGGAGACGCCCGGCCCCGTCTACCCGCCCCGGGCCGCGTCTGCTCCGACGGGCGGGGCAGCCAGAGACGGGGAGGGAGAGGGAAGCCCGCCTGGCCCTCGACCTGCCCCGGGCGCTCCACCCTGGGGCTCCAGCCCCGCTCTGCCGGCCCACCCGCTGCCCAGTGTCCGAGCGCTGTGCTCACTCCTGTCCCCAGGTGTTGGCCGCCTGGTCCTCGTCGTGCTGAGCCTGTGGCCGGGTAGAATCGTTGCCCCGGGTCCGCCTCCTGGTCCCCCGCGAGCCGCCCCAGACCCTCGCGCTGAGCTGGACAGCACCGTCCTCCTGACCCGTTCCCTGCTGGCCGACACTCGGCAGCTGGCTGCGCAGCTGGTAGGAGAGCCTGCTGGGGTGACCAGCACTCAGAGTGGCGCAGGTGGAGAGGGATGCAGGAGGGGTTCTGGAAGGTTCTGGCCTCCCCAGGGTGGCAGGGGATCTGGGAAGGGAGCCTCTAGGGTGGACAAGGTTCCCTCACTGATTCTCTCCCCACGCCCTCTGTACCAGAGGGACAAATTCCCAGCCGAAGGGGACCACAACCTCGATTCCTTGCCCACTTTGGCCATGAGCGCAGGGGCGCTGGGAGCCTTGCAGGTGAGGGCAGGGGTGAAATGGGAGTCGGGCGGGAGCAGGGAGGGTGAAGGGGCCCCAGGCGTGCACACTCTGACCCTCTTCCCTCAGCTCCCAGGGGTGCTGACCAGACTCCGAGCCGATCTGCTTTCCTACCTGCGACACGTGCAGTGGTTACGCAAAGCCGGTGGTCCTTCCTTGAAGACCCTGGAGCCCGAGCTGGGTGCCCTGCAGGCCCGGCTGGACCGGCTGCTGCGTCGGCTGCAGCTCTTGGTACGCCCTGACATCCCAGACCCTGACCCAGCCTGGTCTAGGATTCCCTGACATCCCAGACCCCAGTGCCGGTCCCCACCCTGAGACCGCCAAGAACAAGTGACCCTGACACCCAGACCCCACCCAGCTGGATGGTCCCAGTGCCTAAGACCCTGAACATGGATCTCCAAGACCCTGTGGTCCTGAGCTCCCAGCCTCCACCCCAAGACCTGCCCCCCAAAACGCATTGTCTCAAGGACCCCAGGCTCCCTGAAACTGTAGGACCTTCAGTCCAGGCTTGGCCCCAAGACATGGAACCCTTTTATGTGCCAGCCCGGCAACGCTGACACCTCGAGGGCCCCCCGAGACCTGGCCCGATTCCAGCTCCTGGCTCTGAGACTTGGAATCCTTGAGTGTCTTCCCCGAGGGCCCCTGCCTCCACCCGGAGCTGAGTCCTCACACCCCAGACATTGATACGCAGCCCTCCCCCAGCTCCAGGATCGCATCCCAGGATCCTCCACCCCCCCCCCAAAAAAAAACCAGTTGGCCCTGGATAGCCCATCTTCAATTCCAGCCTCAATTTCTGCCCGACCCCTCCCACCGGCTCCAGTGTCTTATCCCACGTGCGGATATCGGCCCCAAATACTGCCTCCTTCCCACCTTCCCCATCTCCCCTACACTCCTGCCCTTTGCTAACCGCTCGCTCTCTCCCACCAGACATCCCGCCTGGCCCTGCCCCAGGCCCCGCCCGACCCCCCGGCGCCACCCCTGGCCCCACCGGCCTCAGCCTGGGGTGGCATCAGGGCGGCCCACGCCATCCTCGGGGGCCTGCACCTGACCCTGGACTGGGCCGTGAGGGGGCTGCTGCTGCTGAAAACGCGCCTGTGACCAGACTCCCGGCCACCGTCGTCCTTCCAAAGCCAGATCTTATTTATTTATTTATTTTGGTACTGGGGGTAGGAAGGGGAGAGGCCAGGAGGCTCCCTCTCCCTCGTGTCTGCCCCCCTTCTCCACTGCCATTGGGAGTCCCTGCAGGAGACCTGGGCAGGGGGCCCTCTGTGCCTTATTTATATTTATTTATTGAAGGGATGGTGGGGATGGGAGGCAGATGGACTCCGGGGTGGGGCGGGGGAGGAGCAGTCCAGGAATCCTAGGATCTTGGACCTGCAGAGGTCTTCTGGCCAACGTGTCTTCCTGGCTCCTACTCCCGCGTCCACCCCGCACCTGGCCTGGGCGCAAAGAATGGGGGAGGGGCGTATGTTATTTATTACACAATCACTTTTTCCAAGCCTAGAGTTTTTATACCAAAAAAAAAAAGAAAAAAAAAGTTGAGAACTCTGCAGCATGGAGAAGGGGGAATTAAAGTGGTTGTGCATCTCCACCTGTGGAGGGTGAGCTCTTCGGGCTGGGTGCCCAGCATGGGGAAGGGCGCCTGGCTGCTGACCAGCGCTTGAGTCACACCGAGGGAGGGCTTCCAGGTGCCCACCCCTGCTGCACACGGCTGTGGTCTCAGACTCATTATGACAGCGTGTGGTGCATCAGGGGGCTGCCAGGACACCCCCGGTGGGCGACCGGACCGCTGTGAGATGTCCCCTGGGTGTCCCTCTCACTGTGGACTCTTCCATCACAACTGTGTATTCTGTGTGACACTTTTAAGCAAAAAAACCCAATAAACACTTTTTAGAATGACAGTACTGGTCTCGCCTCACTCATACTGCGCCCACGCTCCGGCACCACAAAGCCCTCTGGAAGGGGATGGCTCTGCAGGGGAAGCCCTGTGCCGAGGTCGTACAGGGTGGGGGGGCAGACAGCACTGCCGCTGCCCCGGGGAGCCAGCTGAGCCAGAGTGACCTCTGCACCGCGTGGCCTCCGGCACCACTGACATCAGCCCACTCTTGTCAGATACGAGGAAAATCAGGGCTCAGGGAGGGTGCAGGCCTGGGCAAGGCCTGGACACAGGCCGGTGGAGGGGCATTGCTGGACAGACCCTGCTAACCAGTCATCTGCTTCAGAAGGTCCACACAGACCCTCCCAGGGACTCTGTGTCGGTATGATGGGGGCCCAGGTTAAATCCAGCCAGCACAAGCCACATCCCCAAGGAGAAGGCGGTCCCAGCCCCCAGAGACCTCCCAGGACGTGTGCCCGATGAGGTCACAAAGCCCCCCTTTCCAAGAGCTCCTCCCCCTGGTCAGTGCTGTCCACCCTGAAGGGCCATGGCCTCGGTCCAAGTCCCTCAGGCCTGGGGAAGTCCCGCTGTCTGTGCCCGCAGAGCTTGTGGCACCTCCAAAACCCAGGCCAGTGGGCTGGGGTAGGACGGCGGCTGGGCAGGAGCAAGCCCTTGCCACTCAGGCCCTGAGATCCGGGCTGCCCACGCCCTGCCACACACAGTCCCCACGCCACCACCATGAAGCGGCTACGGAACGTCCGGCGCGTGGAGCTGCCCCAGGGGTCCCTCAAGTGGGTCCCTGTTCTGGGGGAGCTACAGAAGACGCTCCAGAGGGGCGAGTACCTGCCCCTCCGCCCGCTGCCCATGTTCGAGAGTAACTTTGTCCAGGTCCCCTCTGTCCCCTGGGGTGGGGGGCTAAGAGAGGAAGGGGGGAAAGACGGGTGATGAGGGACTGGGGTGGGGGCCTCGGGCTGGAGGACAGCTGGGGACGGGGTCTCGGATCGGGCACACTTGTACTGAAGAAAGGAGGGGTCCCAGCAATGACTCCCCCGCCCCACCGCCGGCCACACCAGGTGACAAATCGTGGGAGTCCTGTGTTTCTGCATCACAGAACCAACAGGCTGACCATGGGCGTCGCTGCCTCGCTGCCCGGCCTGGTGCTACCCGACATCCTGCTGATCGCCCAGCCTCCCCGAGGCAGGGACTGCGTCAACCTCGTGCTGACCAGGTGCCTGCCCAGCTGGCCGCCTGCATGTCTGCCCTGGCCGCCCCTGCCCCATCTGCCGCTGTAGCCGCCCTGTCTCCTGCCTCCGCCAGGATGATACCCCTAGATCTCGTGCACCTCTACGTTCACGACCTGTCCACTTGGCGCCTGAAGCTGCGGCTGATCACCGGCCGCTACTACTACCTAGAGCTGGATGCGCCTGATTCTGAGGTGGACTTCCTGTTTGACCGCTGGATCCGCCTCATCAACCTTCTACGGGAGCCTGTCACCACCTGGGCCCCTAGGACCCTGCACACGCCCCCCCTGGACGTGTCCTTGGGCTCAGCGCCAGCCTCCACCTGGCACCTCCAGGTGGGGTGATACCCACCACAACCTTTCCCCAAATCCCCGGCAGGTAGCAGGGCCTAGAGACCCAAATGAAGCAGGGACTAGAGTCTAAGGAAGGAGGTTCTGGCCTGGCCCCCTGGGTGAGAGGGAGGGAGGAGGGGCTGGACCCCTGGGTGTGAGGGAGGAGGGGCTGGACCCCTGGCTGTGAGGGAGGAGGGGCTGGGCTGGACCCCTGGGTGTGAGGGAGGAGGGGCTGGGCTGGACCCCTGGCTGTGAGGGAGGAGGGGCTGGACCCTTGGGTGTGAGGGAGGAGGGGCTGGACCCCTGGGTGTGAGGGAGGAGGGGCTGGAGCCCTGGGTGTGAGGGAGGAGGGTCTGGGCTGGACCCCTGGTCTGAAGGAGGGGCTGGACCCCTGGGTCAGGGGTGATGTAGACAGCTAGTTGAGAAGGCAGTGGCTCTAGGTCAGTTCCCTGATGACCACCTGCATCTTTGTCCACAGCAACAGTGCTACCGGAGACATGCAGGTGAGGAGGCCGCTGGGCTGTCCTGACCCTTGCTCCATGCTGAGTCCCCAGGCATTCCTTGGGGTTAGTGGGGGAGGGATGGCCCAAAGTCCCGTCCCCACGCCAGCAGGGCTCTGACCAACGGCCTCTCTACCCTTATGGCAGTGGCAGTACCTGGGCCCATGTTTCCTTACAAGATGTCGACATCTCAGAAACAAAAGAAGGCCAAGGTGGGCTGGTCCAGGGCAGGTCCCGCCCATGATGGGATGAGGGGGTGGGTCAGGGGACCGAAGATGGGCTGGGGGCTGGGCCCACCTTCTCTGTCCTGTTCGCCCCTGCCAGGCCCTGAAGCGCAGGTTCAAGTCACAGGCTGTAGGCGACTCAGTGCCCCTCATCTGGTCCCAGCTGGAGCGGGCTGACTTCCAGAAGAAATCTGCAGAGAAGTGGGCCAGGGTCTGGAGGTGGGCGGGGCCCGGGAGGCGGATTCTTGCGGGGAGGGCCCTGGCCAGACACCGCTCAGCCCCCCATGGTGTTGCTCCTGCAGATCCCTTCAGGATGCCCACGCAGACAGATCTCACACCCACACCCAGGTTTCCGGTGAGGCCAGCCCCTCCCTCTTCCTTAGGCGAGCTGGGGCTGCAGCCATTTGGGTCCCCAAGGGCTCAGGCTGTTCCCTCTGCTCTCTTCCCTGTCAGAAAAGGCCAGCATCACCATCCGTACCATCTTCAGCATCATTTCCAACACGATGAACCATTCTCCATCCTTGCCGAAGGCCAGCTGGGGCCCCAGGGTGCAGGTGGGGTGGCTCGAGGCGGGACCGGACTCCTGGGTGCCAACCAGGTGTCTCCCCTGTGCCCCCACGCGCCCCGCAGGCTGGTGCAGCTGACTCTGAGGGAGCCTCGGAGCAGCATAGGCTGCTGGACACGCCTTCACGCTGTGTCGTCGGGGCCAGCACCGCCTTCCCCTTCCCGGGCACCTACAATCACCTGGACATGCTCCTGTGGCAGCAGGACCTGGAAGACCTCATGGACCCCGAGTCCAGCACGCTGTCCTCGTCCTCCCTGGGCCCAGCCCCAGGCCTGCCTCCCGGCCCGCCCTCCTGTACCAGGCCCAGTGAAAGGACCCGGCCTGGGAGCCCCTGGAAGGGACAGAGTCCACCACTCTCCCAGAAGGCCGCCTCTGTCCCTCTCACGCCTTGGAAGGCACCGTTCCTGGTTGACCAGTCCCACAAGGTCCCGGCTGTCCCTGCTCCCCGCCCCAAGGCTCCGGCAGCATTACCGCCACGTGCTCCTGCACCGTTATGGAAAGTTCCACCTGCACCCGGCATGTCCCACAAGACCTCCACCTCTGTAAGACCGGCTACCAACCAGAAAGCCCCGGCTGCTTCCCTGCCTCACCGGAGGAGCCCACACAGGTTTCCACCTCACAGGGCCCCTGCTATACGTCGTGGCGTGGTCCCCAAACTCCTGGCCATCCCCACCCCCAAAGCCCCACCCTCAGCTGCTGTTTCCCAAAAGGCCGTGACCTCCCCATCCCAAACAAGCAACCCTACATTCCCAGCACCCCCAGCTCCAAAGGCCCTGGCTGCACCTCCCCAGTGGGGGAAGCCCCCCGACAGCGATGACCACCACAAGGACAGGGACCTGCTACCAGCAGGGGTCCCTGGGAGGGAGCTATTGGCGACGGACCAGCCTGCAGTGCTGGTGGGGGTCCAGCTGACGGATGTAGTGGAGATGAGGGCCCAGGCGACCTCGCTGGAACTGCCGTACAGTACCACCAAGAAGGAATCCCAGGAAGTATTGATGACCAAGACTCGGGAAATTGCCATAGAAGGCTTGCAGGGTAAGGGCAAGTGCGAGGACAGGGCCCACAAGGTCAAGGAGAAGAGAATCCTGGAGCTGCCTGGCATGAGGTCCAAGGAGGTGGGGCAGCAGAGGAGGTGGGTCAAAACCACAGAGCTGGCTGTTGAGGGCCCCCATCCAGCGGAGCACAGCCGGCCCTTCTCCGTGGAGGGGCTGGCCCTAGCCAAGCTCATGATCATGGCTGGCTCCAAGGACCAGCATCAGCGGCCCACAGTGGTCACGCTGCCCTCCTGGCTCTCCATGACCTCCCAGCCATCTGCCCTGCCCTTCAGCTCCAACCAGATGTCCCCGTTGGAGGAGACCCCCACGGCACCCATGCTGGTGCGGGAGCAGCCAGAATTGCACACCTGGGGGATGGAATGTGCCACCCAGCGACGGATGGACAGCGAGGCATCCTGGTACCCTGGGAGGCCCTTTAAGGGGCCTCTGCACGACCCTCGGTCCACCCCCAACAGCCCCAAGCTGGTCGCCTCCTCGCAGGTTCCCATTGCCCTGCCCGCCTCACGGTGGGAGGACTTGTCGGAGCCGCATGCCCCCACCAGGATGGGTACCAGCATGGCCAAGTCGCCCCAGGAGCAGCAGCAGCAGCAGCAGCCCCTGCGGAGGCCTTATGATCACTCCAGGGCACCCAGGCCACACCCACTGGCTAGGATGGCCTCATCTTCGGAAATCCTACCCATGCTCCTGGAGATTGAGAGAATGAGGGGCATGGAGACCACCAAGGCACAAGTACCCAAGGAGGAGCTTCACCTTCCACCTAGGTACTCCAGCCCCTGGGTGTGGCGATCCAAGGAAGCGGGGTGCTGCTGCTGGCAAGCTGCCATGCTCAGGACTGGGGGAGGGTGTGTCGAGGAACAGCCCGCTGAAAGAGGGGAGGCAAGCAGTCACTGGCACTTTATGGAGGCAGCCAGGTGCCTGGGCCAGGAGTTAGCACCAGGGAACGTGGGGGGCTGACAGAGCCAGAGCGAGCAGGTGGCTTGGAGGGCTTGGGGCAGAAGGGTGGGAACTGAACTGGGTGAGCAAGGACTCTGGCGGGAGGACAGAAGGCAAGGGCATGGGGGCGGGTAGGAAATGTGATGGCTTAGTGGCAAGGGGAGGCTTGGATAAGCTGCAGGTGCTTTGGAAGGTGGCTGGGGCGCTTGGACAGTGGGCGTGGCTGCGAGAACACTGGCCTGGGTAGGGGAAACACCAATTGGGCTTATTCGTTGTTTTTTGGATAGGTTTAATTGTTTGGAAGGCAGAATGATGGAGGAGCGTGCGCACACACACACACACACACACACACTCCTTTGAGCTATGGGTTCACTCCCCGAATGGCCATAACAGATTTGGACCAGGTGGAAACCAGGAGCCAGGAGCTCCGCCCAGTCCCTCCCCTGTGAGTGGGAGGAACCTGGGCTAGCTACTGCTGCTTTCCAGGTGCATTAGCAGGGAGCCTAGCAAACAGCGAGGTTGGGACTTGAAGCAGCACTTCTGGTGTGCGATGGATGGCCAATCCCCGCTAGGGGTGCCGTTCTGAGGACAGATTTGGGCACCTCGTTCCCGTTCCTCAACTGCCCCGTGCAGCCTGGGATGTGACGGGTCCTAGCCAGGGTCTCCTGAAGAGAGACCTGGTTCAAGGATGTGGAGTGGGGCGCAGCTGACTGGTTCTCTAGGCTGTCCACTGCGCGGGGATGACCGACTGGGAGGGAGCTGATACGGGACATGCGGGGCAGACAGGGCTTCTCGCCCAGTGCAAGGGGCTGCGGAGTCCAGGCAGGTGCAGGCCACAAACCGCTCACCCAGCCTCCTGCGGGGGTACAGGCACACACACAGGGACTCCTGTCCTCTGGGACAACTCACTAGAGCCTTCTTCTCCGGCAGCACCAAGCACTCCCCACACTTTGAGTAGCAACGCAGGGGCTCAACCTCAGCCGGCAAACTGTCCAGCAGGAGCCAGCTTGGTCAGGTGGGTGCCCACCCTGACATCCTGGAGGCTGGCCTCAGCCTGGGGCATGGCGGGGGTCCCCGGAGCGACGACGACCCCTCTCATCCCCACCCTGTCCTCCGCACAGGTCCCCAGGGTGCTGTGCACCCCGACTGCACGCCGAGCGCCGGCAGGGCCGGGGGGCGCGCTGTCCTCCCTGTGACACGCACAGCTGTGGATCTTCGTGTTTTGTATATTGGGGGGCGGGGCGGGAGCGGGGCGGGAGAGCCCGCGGAGCTGGCAGCTTCGCACGGATTAAAAGTCCGAGAGACTCGGTCCCAACCCCGCGTCGGTGCCTGCGTGGGCGCGCGCGGGGGCGCGGGGGGCGGGCGCGAGTGCGCGTGGCCCGGAGCGCGCGCCCCGGCTGTCCCCGAGCTGGGTGGGACCCTCCCGGACGCGCCCTCGCCCGTCTCGGCGGCAGACCCGGCTCCGAGCACCTCCAGCCGGTGAGGGGAGAGCGGGCCGCCCGGGGTTTGGGGTGCTGGGGTCGGAGCAGGGCCCCTCCGGGCTCCACGGGATCGATCCCACCGCCCCCACCGCCCCCAGCGCCCCGCAGGATGGTGAACGACGACATGCAGAAGGTCCCCAGGGGGAAATGGACCACGCCGCCCTTCGACCCTCGGTTCCCCAACCAGAACCAGACCCGTAACTGCTACCAGAACTTTCTGGGTGAGGCCGGAGCAGTGGGGAGTTGGGGAAGGACGAACCCCTCCAGGAAAAACCCCGAGGGGGAGACCGTTGGGGCGTGGCCAGGCCGGGAGGGGCGTGGTCACGGGTGTGGGCGGGGCCGCGGATGGAGCCGCTGAGGGGCGGGGCCGCGAGGTGCGGCGGCTCAGCGGGGGTGGAGCCTCTGTGGGCGGGGCGGCGTGCTGGAGGTGGAGCCACCGATGGCGGGAACCTTGCTGTGTGGGCGGGGCTGCCGTCTGGGGGCGTGGCCCGCCCCGGAGTGGGCGTGCTTCGCGGCAGCCACGCCCCCCGCCCGCAGAGTTCCACCGTTGCCTCAAGAACATGAACCGCCGCGGCAAAAGCCCGCAGCCGTGCGAGTACTACTACCGCGTGTACCGCTCGCTGTGCCCCATCAGCTGGGTGAGCGGGCCGGGGGCAGGTGGGCGGCGGGGCAGGGGCTCGGGCGGGGGCCTGACCAGTGCGCCCCTCCCCAGGTGCAGCGCTGGGAGGAGCAGATCAGGCAGGGAACCTTCGCTGGCAAAATCTGACCCCCCCAGCCCACCGCCCTGGCCTGGCTGACCGGCCACACCTTCGTCCCCAGTCTCTAAACTGCAAATAGAGTTCTGTTGCAGCTGATGCCTCTTCTCAACGCACGATTAAATGAGGGGTTGGGGCGCCCGGACCCTCCTGTCCTCCCCACCTGAGTCCCGCAATCCCCACACTGCCCCCTCCTGAGTCCCTGGATCCCCACACTGCCCCCTCCTGAGTCCCCAGACCCTCCCGTCTCCCCACCTGAGTCCCTGGACCCTCCCATCCCCCCCACCTGAGTCCCTGGACCCTCCCATCCCCCCACCTGAGTCCCTGGACCCTCCCATCCCCCCACCTGAGTCCCTGGACCCTCCCATCCCCCCCCCCTGAGTCCCCCATCCCCACACTGCCCCCCACCTGGCCATGGCACCCGGCACGGCCATTCCATCCCCTCTCCCCTGGCTGCGCCGGCACAGTCAGGAGTGCCCCTTGGCCCAGCCCAGGGGGTCCTAACCTAGCCCTGTCTCCCCTGCCCCAGTGTGGGGGAGACCTGGGGTGGCTGTAAGGCTGGCCGGGACTCTGGCTGAGTCTGAACCTCAGGGTTCAAGTGTGGCCGAGAGCGACCCTGGCAAGGTGCTGGGCGATTCTCCTAGCCTGGTCTGCCCAGGATCCCCCAGCGTAGAGAGACGTGGCCAAGTCCTTTCATGGCCCACACCCTGGACGCACCATGCCGAGTCGACCCCACCTTCAGGGTGCCTGCCACAGGCTGCACCAACGTGGCGCCAGGCCTCATGCCAGGACTGGCCAGCTGCTACTCCCCCTCTTGGGTCTCCCCACCCCAACACGTTCTGCTCCTAACATGGAGCAGAAAGGCCCGCTGCCTCACCTCCAGCCTGGTCAGCACCATAGACTCTGACCCACCTCTTCCAGGGCTCCTAGCCACCCCCACCCCAGTCTGTCCACTGTGTCCACCTCCTGAGACCCCAACGCCCCTCCTCCACCTCTCAGCAGCCCTCCAGGTGCTCCCTGTCCACCAAGGGTGTTTGCTGGCTAGAACAGTGGGCTGGCCCGCCTGCAACCCACCCTAAGCCTCCCGAGAAGCCCAGGTCTGGCTCTCCCCACAAGCCCCTGCTGCCCAGCTCGGGTCCTGCCCTCCAGCCCAGCCTCCTCTCCCTCCTGCAGCTCAGAGCTTGGGCTGATGGGCTGGCCAGCCCAGCACTGTGTCTCCATGGGAGACCCCCACCCCTCAGAACACAGGAAGCAGCCTGGCCTGGCTGTTCTCAGAGTGGACAGTCTGTCTAGGGAGACAATTTGAGTCATTGCTCAGCGTCCAACTGTTGGACAATGGGAGGTGCTGGGCAGGCAGCCCGGGCGTGAGGCCATGGGGTGGACGCGCACACAGCGGGAAGGGTCAGAAAGCACCGCCATGGGCAGACAGGTCTGGGAGGAGCGCCCCCACATGGTGAGTGCCCTTTAAACTCCCTGAACTGGGACTTGAACCTGCACACCTACTGGGACAGGAGGACACCCCATAGTTACCTGTACTCCTGGCCACCAGCTGTGTGTCTGATGCACATGTGAGGCTCCACCAGCCTGCACTTGTCAAAGGCTGGTCCTCCGGAGCAGCAGAGGCTCACAGCCAGCTACCCACCTGCCTGCTCCAGGCCCCCTGCGCTTGGGACCAGCTCCACAGCCTCAGAGGGGGGCACTGGGACCCTGACTGACCAATGTCCTTCATCAAGTGGAGTCAGTCAGGAGAGAACAGCCCCGGCAGGCCACCTGTCCGTCCTTCCTGAGGGGACCCCAGTCCTCCTACTGAGGGGACCCCAGCCTCTGCTTGCCAGACCCCAGGCCCTCGTGTTGTCCCCCACGACGGGCCGGGCCACGGCAGGAAAGAGGGCACTGCTTATAAGAAGGCTTTAATAAAATACAAAGTTCAAGTGCTTCCAATCCCCCATACCCCGCTCTGGTGTGGGGGAGGGGAGGCAGCCCCACCCCCAGTAGCACCAGGGATAGCACCATGAGAAAGATAAGGTCGCACCGGCCTCCCTGAGACCCACGGGGGCAGCAAAGAGGACTGGCCCCCCAGACGCCACTCCCCACTCCATCCCCCTCCTTAGGCAGCTGCCTGCCCCATGCGGGGTTCCTTAGCACAGGTCACTTCCTCCTGCGGCCTGGGCTTCCAGGAAAGGCCAGGGGTGCCCCCCCCCTTATGGCTTTGCTCCCTGGGGAAAAAGGGGGCCTCCTGCAGTCCTGAGGTGGGCATGGGGAAGGGGGGAGGGCAGCCAGTGGCCAGGGTTCCCTGCAGGGTAGGGTGGCTCAGGGGTCAGCAGTCACTTGGGGGTATCGGGCAGGCCTGTCCAGGCCCCTGTGCCCCATCAGGCCTCGTCCCTATGGATATCCAGGTTGATGGCGCCGTGGCTGACCACCAGCCGCAGGCGCTTGGGCGGGGAGAAGCGAGCAAAGGCCAGGGCTTGCTTGGGGATGGGGCTGGGAGCTGGGGTCTCAGGGGCAGTGGTGGTGGCGGCAGCCACAGGGGCTGCTGGCACGGCTGGGGCCAGGCGGCTGAGGTCCACACGCACCACGGAAGGCAGCCCGTAGCGCCGGGCCCAGTGCCAGTCCTGCTGGGGAGCCCAGCGTGCAAGGGTGGGTTGGCCCAGGGCCACCACGGCCTCAGCCCGCAGGCGGCAGTGGGGGCCGCAGCGCCCCCACCGGTGTACAGGGATGCAGACGGCAGGGAGGGTGGGGAGAATGGGGGTGCGCCGGGGCTGGGGCCGGGGCCGGCGGCGCTTCCTGGGGCGCACTTGATGCTGGAGCTGGGGCAGCCACTGCAGCCAGAGGGGTGAAGTGTCCCGCTGGGGGCTGTGCAGGGGCTGGCAGGCAGCTGCAACAGGAAGGGGTGTGGGTGGAGAGGAGGCGGGTCAGTGGCCCTGCCATGGGGGAAACCAGCCCACCCCACACCCCCCGCCACCCACAGCCTACCACAGCAGAGGTCCTGGCACTGCGCGGGCCTGTGGCTGCATGCCCATGGGCCAGGCCCACTTGGTTCCTGCTGTAGCCGCCGCTTGGTCTCCCGGAGCTCGTACTTGTCTGGGGACTGGGTGGGCAGCTCAGGCTCCCTGGGCTGCAGCCGGAAGGCCCCTTCACCCTTCCTGGGAGGACCAGAAAAGGAGCAGAGGCAGTTGGGGTGCGAAGCGAGGTGGCATGGCTCCTGGTGAGGGACCCCAGCACCCCTGGCCCCACCTCTCACAGGTGTAGCATTCGCAGAGCTCGTTCTGGTCGCCGAAGAAGCCCTCGCCGTAGAAGCAGGTCACCTCGTCTCCCGGCTCGATGTCCCGGAGCACCTTCACACAGGCCGCGTTCCCGTCCACCGGCACAAACTGGGGGCGGCACAGCTCAGCACCCACTGCCCGTGCCCGACCCACACGGGGCTAGCCCACGGGCATCCACCCCCATCCTGCAGGGCGATGAGCTAACCTGACCTGGCAGGGTGCTGTGGCAGTGTGAGCCACGCCCTCCTGCGCTTTCCCCGGCTGGATGGCAGTGCCAAGCTCCTCCCCATACACCCAAGCCGCCAGAATGGCTCCCTCCCTGCCAGCCTGTGCTGCCCAGCCCCAGCCAGCTCGGCTCCTCCCCTGCCCACTCCTCCCAGCATGCCTTCAGGACCACAGATCCAGCCTCCCCCACGGGCTCTGTCTGTAATCCCCGTACATCCACTCATCAGCTTCATGCTCTGCTGAGGGCTGACCCACAGGGCCCTGCCATGCTCGTCCCCTCCTGCCATGCCCGTCCCCTCCTGCAGTGCCCGTCCCCTCCTGCCATGCCCGTCCCCTCCTGCAGTGCCCGTCCCCTCCTGCAGTGCCCCGTCCCCTCCTGCAGTGCCCCATCCCCTCCAGCAGTGCCCCATCCCCTCCAGCCACATGCTGTCCCCCTCCTGCAGCACCCATCCCCTCCTGCCACCATGGCCCGGCCTAGAGGCAGCATGTGGCCTTTGGTCAGGCTCAGCCTCCGCCCCAGACCCCCATGGGCTGTCCCCCCAGGCTCAGCTGAGCTGGCCACTCCGCAGCACCAGTCTGGTCTCAAGGTACCCCTTGCCGCTCCTGGCTGCCCTGGGGTGAGGACTCTTACAGACCCTTGGAGACATTGAAGGCCAGGCCCTGAAGTCCAAGCTCCAGCCTGCTTTGGATCCCATGCCCAGGGGATTCCACCAACCTCCCGGTGCCACCCAAGGCCTCCCAGAGCTCTGCCCCCCATCTCCAGCCCTTCACACGCCCTCACAACTGCCCCTCAGGACCCGGGCCTCCCTCACCTCCCTGCTGCCCCAGCCCCTGCAGCTGTCTCCCAGGGCCCCGCTGCCCCCACTGCTCTCCCGTCAGCCACACCTGCTGCAGCCAGGCACAACTGCTGGTCTGCTCAGACAGCAAAGAGTGCCAAGCTTTGACAGCCCAGTGAAGCCCCCCTCTCCCCACCCACGCCAGGGGTCCAGGTGTGGACACAGGGAGCCTCTTGGGCAGGTGGGAAGCCAGCAAGAGGACCTGAGACTGCTCTGCACCCCAGCTGGCCGACCCCAGGCCCCAGTGCTCACCTTGCAGTTGGGTCTGCAGTCTGCAGCCAGGAGGGAGACGTGGGGGGAGAGAAGAGGCAGGTGGGCAGGTGGGCAGGTGAGCAGGTGAGCGAGCCGCTGGCAGCCACCGCAGGGAGGAGGCCCGGCCGCCCCCCCCGCCCGCCCCCCCGCCCCCCCGCCCGCCGCCCCGCCGCCCCGCCGCCCCGCCGCCCCGCCGCCCCCCGCCCGCCCGCCCCCGCCCCCCGCCCGCCGCCCCCGCCCCGCCGCCCCCCGCCCCGCCGCCCCGCCGCCCCGCCGCCCCCCCCCGCCGCCCCGCCGCCCGCCCCGCCGCCCCCCGCCCCGCTCACCGTGGTTGATGAAGGCTGCGGGGCCGAGCCACAGCTGCGTGCAGCGCTTGCGGGTGGAGTACATGATACTGAAGTCGTTCTCGCCCGCCCTCAGCAGCCCCTCGTCCGC